CATCGTCTCAGGGGAGGCAGGGTCTGCAAGATACTGTTGCCTGCCTGGCTCTTGGCTTTTTCTCCAAGTTTTCCCTACGAGGATTGTCGAGGAGCAATCCTCCTTTGCTTAGCAAATCACAGTTCCCATGTGCCCTGTACTCCCACACACAGACCCACCGTGAACTTACAGAACGAGACAATACTGCTGCTCTCAAATCTTTTATCCAGAGCTGAGATTGCCCGACTGCTAACCCTGTTCAGCTCCAAGTAATCCCAGCACTTGCTTATCTAGAGGTTGGCTATACTGGGAATAAATGCCCTTGCTCTCATTGCCAGGAGGTAACATCCAAAGAATAGAACAATACCGCTTCCTTTTGAAATACAGTGTTATTCATAGACCAGCATCACACAAAGTTGCCAGGATGCTTCCAGTCTGTTAAAATCCATAACACAGGCAGGGGAAACAGCAACATAAGCACCACTGGAACAGCTCAAGTCTCATCAGAACTTAACCTGAACCTGTTCCAGCTGACAAAACCCAAACCTATGAGAGCTAAGTGTCAGCACACAGGCTGGAAAACACATATTTTTTGCTTCTGCCTGGAAATTAAAATATACCCCAGTGATCTTCGCTTGAACATGTCTCTATCCTTTTGTCCTTTGTCTGTTACATTGATCAATATTGTGGGTTTTAGAAGATATAAGAAATCCTATGTTAGGCAACTCTGAGGGGTTGAAGCCTGAAGATTTAGATCTATTTCAAATGGACTGACCTGTCCAGTGATAAATGATCTACTATCCATCAAAATGTCTTCTCTTTTTCTTAATCCTACATTCAGTACCAGCAGCATCTTGTAACAGTGAGCTCCTCATGTCACAATCACAGCAGGGGAAAAAACGTACTTTTATCATCAAATTGCTACCTTTCACATTTTCCTGGATGCACTCCAGTTCCTCTACTGAGAAAAGCCATGTAAAGAGGCATTCATTCTCCCTCTACTGTGTTGCTGATTGCTTTGTTTTTCACCCCAATGTCCCTTGTCAACTCTGTCCCTGAGCTAACCAACCCCATTTTAAGGAATGCCTCTATGTGCACCAGGCATTAGTGGGATTACCTGATTGGAGTAGGGATGAGCAGCAAACAAAACCTAAAGGCCCCTATATTGGAGCCATAGATCCCAGTTCTGTGTATCAGCCCTGGGAAGCTGTGCCTCCTGAGAAAACTTGGCTCACGTTTTATAAATCTGAGGAATTTGCAAAGTGCACTGTTTTCATCTCAGGGAGAAGGATCTCAGACAGCCCCACACACTGCATGGTGGAGGAAGCCAACAAGGCAGTTGACTGAACACTTGGGAATATTGGCAAAGTAGATAAATTCAAGCTTTTAAGGAAAGACCTTCGGGAGCACTAATGTCACGAGAGCAAGCTAGAAGAGACTTCAAGCTCTTAATTATGAGCCTGCACAGCCTAAAACAGCATGAAAGATTAAAGGACCAATTTTCTATAAGTGTGTTGACCATGGATCAAGGCACAGTTTGGAGACACACCCCAACCTGAATGAATAAGTGGGGTCTGACCAGCGTCCCTGTCGAAGATGGAGCTTTAGACAGAGCCTGCACCCAAGAGGAGGGTGCTGACAGCCACAGGTCCCACTGTGCTCTGTATTTATTAGTCTTTTGTAGTATTCATTGGTTTTAAATCGCAGTCTTGTCAGTCTGAGCTTCTTCCCAGCAAGTGCTTCTCGGAGTTGCAGGGGCCTCGCCTGGGAGACAGATGATCTGGGTCTGTCTCAGCTCTGACGTGATGAGCTGCAGTGTCTCCCTTGTAAAGTGGGGGTAGTCATCCTGACAAACAGCTCTGTATGTGGGCAGGGAGTGCTCTTAATCACATATGTGGAGTACTTTGAGATCTCGGGATGGGAAGCGGTGCAGAAAAGCATAATGCTTATTATTAGGCAGAAAGACCAGAAGCAAAAAGGGCAGAGAGATTCTAGACTTCTCCAGGGCCCTGGAGGTGTGTGGGACCTGGATTCCTGTCTGGCTTATTACCTCCCTTTTAGGCTTCTTCTTTTATTAGGAACAATTAGATACAAAGAGGAAGGGGACAGATATCATCTTTCCTGTGTACATCCTGCAGAATAATTGCAGAGCTTTCCCAGAGCAATTTTGCATGCTTAGTAAAGGGCATCTTTGGAGCCTATCAAATATCTCATCCCTTGCAGACATACATATGAAGGCTTGCAGCATACATCTTTATTGCTCCCAAATATTGGGAATAGGAAAGACAACTGAGAGTGCTGAAGAGAAGGAAGAGAAGGTTTTGAAAGTAGTTCCAGGAGGTGGATGGGGTTGTGGGGTGGCTTCTGATGGCTGGGACAGCAACATTGCCTCTCGAGGCATTGGTGGAAAGCTGGAGGTGACTGTTCCTGCAGCACCAGCACCCTGAGGGAGAAGGGTAACAGAGGCTGGAGCTATGAAGGCACTGAGACACATGTGGACGTGCAGGGCACTGCCACTGGCAGGTGATTACCGTGGTGAAGAGGAGAGGAAAGCTATCCAGGGGTACAGCTGGAGTGAATGCAATCCAGGCTCCTACCAGCAAGCTGCCAGCTAGGTACGACTTTGCTCTCAGACTCTAAGGACATCTCCTAGCCTGCTGCTGAAGCAGAGGGAAGTTCCCTGCCAAAAAGTACCTCTACCAATGCTTCATAAGCAAGAAGAAAGGACGCTGGCTACACAGGAGACATAGCCTTGAGCTGTCCAGTGTGACCTCAGACACTCTGCAGGGAAGATGTCATTAGAGGACGTAGGCAATAGTCACAAAGACGTTCCCAAACCATGGAAAGAATATGAATTTAAGAGCTGTACACTGTGAAAGTGTTTTCCCTCTTGTGTACATTTAGCTGCTCTATAGCTCTGTACAGCTCCCTAGGCAACAGTCTTTCCAAATGACACTGTAACAAAGCCCAAAGGTGCGGGAGCTCCCCTCATTAAACCCTTGCCGTGGGAGCAAGTGTCCTCGGCCCAACTGCTTTGCTTTCTATCCCATGGCTGCTAAAGTGTCTTGCAAACCAGGCTGAGGCCCTTCGCTGTAAAGGTGGCTGTATCTCAGCTGTGCTCTGTGTCATCTGGTTGAATTGCTTTAGGATTGCGAGGGTGCCTAAAATATTTTTCAATTATTATTATTATTGTTACTACACTGAAAATGCCAAAGAAGCCAAGAGCTTTAGTTTGATCTCATTCTAATTCCGAAACACCCGATACGATGTGTTAGCTGCTCAGCCCATCTACCTCTGCACATTAACTGCCCTGCAGAGCCTTAATTCAGTGCAGACTGAAGTGCCCTGAAAGCAACACCAAAGTCGCTCCTGGAAGGTATAGGGAGGGCAGGAATCACAGTCAGTGAGCTCCTGGCCTCACACCGGGCAGAAATATTGTGTGCTCAGCCGCTGGCACTCACGCACGGTCTGTGTCCAAGGCATGCCTGCTAACAGAGAGCTTCCAGGAAACCATGGAGCGAGCACCAACCGAAAGTCATCGAGTCCCCCGCATCCTGTTTCAAGGCATGGGGAGAAGAGGATTGGCAGCATGCACAGCTGCAAAAAGATGTGACACAGGCTGTCACACACAGCTCTGCTGCTGCTCACCTCGTGCCCTGTAACCCTCCCTATTACCTGAGACTGAGGTCCCCATAACCTTCTACCAAGGCATCTCATTTCACAGAAACGATGGCCTCCCTTCTGTGAGGTTCCCATCCTGCTGTCTCTGTGCACCTGTCTCCCAGCTATATGATTCCTGTTCCTAGTCCTGTCTGAGGCTAGCAAGGTCAATACCTTGCACTTCTGCTGGCTGTCCAGGGGTGTAAGGCATGAACCTCCCCACCCATTTTCCCCTTTTTGCACCAGATGAGATTTAAGGTGATCAGACTTGTGTGTGAAGCTGCTGTAGCCTGTTACACTCCCTGCATACGTGCTTTGCACAAGGAAAATGGGTCCAGGAAAGGAGCTGAAAGCACCTGCAGAGGCTGCATCGCTGCCTCTTCCCCACTCACTCCTTGAGCTGTGCGGACTTCAAGTTGTCGGACAGGTATTTATTGCTTGTCATTACTGCGCTGCTTATGGTGATGTTTGGTGCTGCCCCACTGATTCGAACACTCCTTCTACCCAGATGCACAGAAATTGCCCCTTGGCAGTTTTCCCTAAGGAGTTACTGAGAAAACAGCTGCCTCTCTCCAGATTTGCAGCACCTTGAGGGTTTTCTTCCTGTCATGCACTAGCTGCTGAGCCTACCCCCTCCTCTCCCCTGGCCTGAGGCTGGATGGGTGAGTCGCAAGAATAGGATGCTGAAAAAAGTACTTTTCAACTCGCCTAGCGACATACACCCCAAACTCTTCTCTGGAACACCAGCAAGTGCATTCCTCGGCAGACACACGTGTGCCAGGCTGGGGTGAAAAGGGCAGAGCCCTTCCCCAGCCCTCCTTCTCTTGCCCTCTCCCAGTGCATCTCTCCAGAGCCCCTTACGGTGATGTCCACTTGGATTCGGTTGCCACCGAGCCTGCCTGTGGCTGTACACAAAACCCGTCGCCCCTCCGTACTTTGGCTTCCCTGGTATTTGTCACCAAGAGGCGCAATAAAACCTCCCCGGGAGCAGCGGTGTGTTCGAGACCCGCGTTTGGGTACCATCCCTCGGAGATTCCCGGCGGCGAGATTCCCGGGTAGACATACACTAGGAATGGGGGCATCTCCCCACAGCTGGAAAATTCCAGCCTGAGAGTGGGATGCCGCTCCTCTGGAAGGTGCCCGGGCCAAGGTGTGAGGGGATGCAAGGACAGGGGCTCCCCGTCAAGAGCGGAGCCGGTTCGGGCGCTAAGCAGGGATGAAGTTCGGGAACCCCGCCGCTGGTCGCAGGGCAGAGCACTCTTCCAGCGCCAAGCGCCGAGGGACCGCAAGGTCACCCCTGTATCCCCGGCGCTGCCCCCACCCTCAGAACCCCAGTGCCCGAGCGCGGGGCTCCCGCTTACCTGGCGAGATGGGTCGGTCACGGCGGAGATGCCGGGGCGCGGAGTGCGGGGCGGCACCGCGCCGGAGGCTGCCGGGGGAGCATCGCCCGCCGCCGGGCGGAGGCGTGTCCTCCCTGCGCCGCGGGACCTGCACCGGCACCGGCACCGGGATCGCAGCCGGGACCGGCCCGTCGGCGCTGCCGGCGGATGGCGGCGCCCGCCTTCAGACGGCGCCGGCGATGCGGCTACGGGCGGCGCGGGGCCGATTTAAGGCCACCCCGCGCCGGGGGTGGGGGAGCGCCGAGGGCCGCCCGCAGCGGCTCCTGCGCGCCGCGCATCCCGCGGGGCCACCTTAAGCGGGAGAGGGGCGAGAGCAGAGCCGGCGAGGGGGGAAGGAGCGGCGAGGAGGGGACTAGAGCCGGGAAAAGCGGAGAAAGCGGGAGCGGGGCCGGGCGCGGCCGCAGCGCTGTCCCCGCCGCCCGCGGTGGGGCCGGGCACCCTCGGAGGGGGAGGGTTCCCTGACCGGGGCCCGGCAGCTGCTCTCCCCGCTGAAGGCGAGAGGGTGGGATGTTTTTTGTTGGTCCCGGGAGGATCGCTTTGCCGCTAACCGGGTGTTGGAGTGATTTCTCGATCCGACTGCACCCAGAAGGTGCACCTGCCACGGCTACCGCCCGTGAGGGTTGGATATCGATAAGGCAACCTAGGGGACACAGCGCTAAGCCGGGGACCACTGTGCTACTGAGATTTGGTCCCCCCACTTGCTGCTTGATGGCGCACATCGCCACTGCGTGCCTCAGTTTCCCTGAGGTGGGCAGGAGTGCTAGTGCAACCATTTCCCACTGCAGCAGCCACTGGGCCATTTCTTGCTCTGGCCACATGATGAGACACAACCAACACTTTATCTGGCAGCTTCTGCCTTGGAGCAGGTTATGTGGGTGCAGAGGACCGTCCTGCTTCAGTTTTCCCCTACCTGCCTCCCTTAGGAGCTGTGTCTCTTGGCCATAAAGTCACCATGCTGCTTGAGGGGGCATGTGAGAAGCAGCTCTTCCTTCAGCCTCCCAGCTGGGGCTGCATGCACAGAAGGCAGAAATGAGGGCTGTCACACCTCAGCCCTGCTGTAGGAGACTTCTTTCCAGCCTTCAGCTTGCACTGGGCTACACAGTACGCATCTGTCTCTCCCTTACCCTTCTGAAGGTTGTGACTGCCATATCTCAGGAGTTTCTTCTGAAGAAGTGGCCACAGCTTTCAGCAAACCATGAGGCATAGAAGGTAGCACAGTCCCAGGCTCAGTTGGGAACTTGTTCATAAAGCTTGGCTTCAGGTAACAAAGCTCCTGCTCTGGGATGCACTAAGTGGGGCAAAGTATTTTGAGATCCTTGGCTGGCAAGTGCTCTTGGAGAAGAACAAGAGAAGTCTGTTTTCTCAGGTTAGCTGGTAGGTCTTGGCCATATTTCTGGAGCAGTCACTGCTGAAAACACCTTGGAAAGGAAGACATCAAGTGACATTTTGCAGCCCAAATGACATTTACAAAGTGGAACACAAAGAAAAACCCAGCATGGGCAAAGCAGCAGGCCAGTGCCAGTGCCTTCACTCTTCTGCTTTCTCCCTTTGCCAAGGGGACGCTCTGAGGCAGACGTGTTCAGCACCCAACTGCCACGCACACCACTGCTGTGCTCATGGGTGTCAGACACTGGCTGTGTCCTTCTGCACCTTTCCCTTGGCCAGAGTAGGGCAAGAATTGCTGCCCCTCATCAAGTGTGTTGAGGGCTGGCACTATCCTGCTCTGGCACCTCAGACTGCCCTTAATGGGCATCCAATGCCCTTAATGTCCATCCATCCATCCACCCACCCAGCCATCCTCAGTGTTGGAAGTATGAAGTCTCCAGGTTGTATGGTCAGCCCAGAAGAGTTCTGTGTGCTCATGGCTGAAAGCCAGCATGTGGGTGTCAGGAAATGGCAAGATGCTTCCCCACAGATGGTTCAGCAGAAGCCTGAATTACTCTTGCACTACCAGCAGAAGCATTACCCTGCACCAAGAATTAGCTAGCTGGGGTGCCCCAGCTCTGCAGCACCTTGATTTTAGGGAAATCTGCACCAAGGAAATTGATTGCCTACTCCTGAAAGGCATTGAGTCTCCCAGCATTCCCTGGGATAACACGGAGACTTTATCCTCCTGTGGCTGGAGAAAGATCTCTCAGAGGACATCACTGATTGCTTATTAGCCACAGGCAACTCGGGTGGTTAGTGAGTTGGAGACGATCCTCGGGTGAACACCCTAACCCTCGGACCTCTCTGGGAGAGGCTGGTTAAGGACTTTGACTTCTGAGGTTCTCTCTGGAGTGCAGAAGCCAGAGGAAGAGATCATATCCAAGACTGCTGGAAACTCTGGAAGCCCATACCACTCGGGCTTTGCTTACTCATGCTCCAGGTTCTCCGTTTTTATGTCCACAACCTCTGACATGACTGTTTCGCTGCCACACACAGAGACACAGTTTAGTCAGTCCATCCTATGGTTGGACTGGAGGGGCTGGGGGTCAGCAGTTCAGGATTATGCTTCTTTCCCCCACCCCCAGTCAGAGCTGGCTCCTGGCAAAAGCTGTACTTCTGAAATGAGACTCAGTTCTGGGGAAGGTGGGTCTGTGCAGAGACATTTTTCTTGGCTAGAGCATCCAGAGTAGATTTATTGGAGGAGACAGTGGAGTATCCAGTATATTATAGTCTTCTTTATCCCTCCTGAAAGCAATACCTGGGGCAATCTGTGTTCCTAGCCACATGGCAGTGGAGTTGCTGCCCTGGTAAGACCTTCTTCCTTCCACCACCACCACAGCTGTGGCCAGCACAGACATATGCAGCAATCTACACTGCAGTGCTCTGGGTGGCAGCTCTTCCCTGGCACGCTGTAGGCTGTCTGCCGCTCTCTCTGCCCACACTTCCTCCACTGAAAGTACAACATGATGTGGAATTCCATGAAATCTCGATCCTGAGGTTGCCACTAAGACAAGTTTCTTCCCAAGTGGTAAGTGCTTCGAGATCCTGTGAGAGATGCTGCTGTGAGGGTAGCTTACTGTTGCAATCTGTGTGCAATTTATTCCTGCAATTTGCTTTTCTTGCTTTTTCACTGCTATGCCCTAAGGGGCCTGATGCTGTGTCAGCCTCGAGGCAGACCCACAGACCACATCCCCAAGCCTTGCAGCAGTAAGTCATAGGAGAGGAGACGCTGTGGAAAATGTTCACTGACTCATGCTGCAACGGAGGAAGCCGTGCCTCAGCACTGTGAGCCTCCCGAGGTCTTGCTCCATCTGGGCTGAGTGGCTGCAGCTGCTCCCCAGTCTCCTGGCCCATCACTCCTGCTGCTGCTGCTGCTCTTACAAGCAATGCATGGCACTGTGAGTGTCTGAGGCACCTTATAGGACTAGGGGAGTGAGTTGTTCACATTTCCCACCCTTCCTTTTGACAAAGGATTTGGCTACAGGGCAGCAGGGACCTTGCTGGTGTCCTCAGCTGTGGGTATGTGTGTGATGCTGTGCTATGGGTACCTGTCTGTTAGCAGCTGTGCTGAGAACTTGCCTCTTTGTTGCCCTCAAGGAAGGGAGGAAGCAAACAGAGCTGTTTCTGATTCCTGGCTGGCATGGTGTTATTTCACAAACTTAGGGTGAAGAAGAGCTTCCAGCAGCCCTAGAGGAAGGCAGAGAAGGGAGCTGGGAGGGAAACCTACTGAAAAGGTCAGTCAAGAGTCATGCCCGCAGGGGACATGGCCCATGAAGCGTTGTTAGGTAGGGGCATCACACAGCCTCTGTAAATACAAATCTCAAAACACTGCACAAATGTACTAAAGTGAGTGAAACCTTCCCTGTGAACCTCTCATTTCTTCTGAGAAGAAGGATGAGCTCTGGAAAAGACAAGTTGTTCCCTCAAAGTCACCCCTGAAATCCGTATTTGAGGGACATGATGAGACACCGGTGGTCTTACCTGCCGATGTCCTCCCTGGTCAGGCAGGGAGGTATTGAAAACACCTTGGTGGCATTTTTGGAGAGCTTGCTGAGCTGTCTTCTGCCTAACCTGCTCATCTGCCCGAGGACAGACCCCCTTCCCAACTCCTTTCCTTCCCAGACTTCTGGATGTGGTAAAATAGTGACAGCAGGAAGTGGGGTGGGGCATCAGGTCCATCTTTCCCAAGGTCCAAAGCTGCAGCAGGGCCTCTCTCTCTCCTCATTGTAAATCTGCCTGAGAATATGTGTGGCAGAACAAGCAGTCCTTGATCTAAAATCTGCCATCCTTTGAAGAACCTGTGCTTCAGCGAAGCAGCCGACAGTTGCTGCCTGAAGAAGGCTGAAAAGCCACTCTGCAAAGCTCTGCAGTTTCATTTCTCTCCCCCTTGAAGCACCAGAACTGTACACTAATCAAGCTATTTCTGCTACAAGCTGGGGAGGAAAGAAAGAGAGATTGTTAGTGTTAATGCTATTTTTAAATACTTTGCAGACTCTTGAATAGGATGATGATGGGGGCCGTGTAAGGACCCAGACAGAGACAGATTGATGTGTGGTAAACACATCTGTTATTCTTCAACTGGGAGGCAGATCTTTCAGTAGTGCAACTCCGAAGGTACAGCAAGGAGCTGCTGTGAGGACTTGGCTCGCAGCCTCCAACAGGGCTTGGTGCTCCCAGTGCTCTCTGCCTGTTCCTTAGCCACCTGCAAGGCAGTGTTACCACAGAGGGGTTCACGCTCACAAAACTCCCCTGGGAATCAGCTTACAGTTGCACAGCATGTGTAAGGGTCGCTGCATGGATGCCAGAGCCCTCATGCACCTTCTCCAGGGGTGAAGCAATTGCTTGCTTCTGCATGTACCTTGCACCCTAGGGATGGGGTCTATCTATGAAAGCCTAGGGAAAGCCTGAGTACTTGCTTTTCCCCACCAGCTAAAGAACAAAAGAAACTCCCAAGCCTTGGTCTCACTGCAGTAGCAGGAAATGTTCCCAGGGGAGGGAACAGGATGCAAACAGGAAGGTGAGAAGGAGTCTGATGGAGAAGTTTAAAGAAACCCAAACTCAGGTGAAAAATTCATACTGATGGTTGATTTCTATAGAATAGGTTTAAAAAGACAATCTCTGTTAAACTCTCAGCTTTAAGAATAATTTCTATGCCATTCTGTCAGTCTCATCTCCCTAAAATTTCCTAAGGCTTTTCCATAAAGGTAAGTAACTTCTTTTGTAAGAAATTACATCTTAAGTGAGCTATCTATTGAAAACACAGATGGATCCTCCATCTCTTTACACCAAATCGATGCAGGAACAGCTTTTGAAAGTGCTTTCATAGAGACCC